TAGAAATACACACTCTGTGAAAATTTCAACTCTCTTCCTATTACGTTTCATGAGATACAGCCCTCTGACAGACAGACGGGCAGGCAGCGGAGGCTTAGTAATAGGGCTCCTTTGGCACCCTGCGAATACGCGACCATAAAGATCGAAGCTCTATCAAAATGAACTCATCAGTTAAAGCAAGCCTTAACTTATTGTACATTTTAAAATTAAAAAAACCTCCTACTATTTTTGAAACACATACATTTTCAACAAGAAATTCTTCAAATTACTAAAAACCGCATTGAAATTGAATAGTTCGAAAGAAATTATCTAAACCGCAAAATGATAGAAATGGCGTCTTTGTTATGTATTATTTGGATAAAACTATTAAAACTATGCAGATACATAATTAGTTTTTTTTTACATGAATATTTTTTATGAACATCTTAGCGAGCGAGATTTATTTGACTTTTTTAAAGATACGTATATAGATAAACTTAAAAATCAAAACCTTATTTAAATACTAAGTTTGATCCTAATCGTTAGAGCCGTATATATGTATATATATATATATATATATATATATATATATATATATATATATATATATATATATATATATATATGGATATACAAGAATAGTTCATTAAATATAATAATTTATAGCAAAAAGAGTCTTTATATGTATTCGTACTTAAATATTATAGCAACATCCATTTTGACAAACAAACATCAAATCTATGATATTTTTTTCATATTTTTTTATTTGAAAATCAGTGGTACCCTATTTTTAATGCAGACGGTTACGTGTATGTTTAAATGATAACATGTCTGTTTGTTGCAAAATAACTCCAATACTAAAGGGATAAGGTTAATATTGCTTCAAACAACAATTATATGTATCGTTTGAAATTGAACTTTATCTCGATTGAGCTAAAGTTGTGTTTTATTTATAATATTTTCAAGATTATTTGAAAAGCGTAAATATAAGAGTGTGTGTAACTTTGGTTCACATTAGGTGAATTAATTTATTGTAATAATAATATAATACGGTTTTAGATATCACTAGCGACTCACCCTCGTTCTGCTCGGATTCGTACCCTAGTTAGGTTTTAACGTTTAGTATAGATTTCTCAGAGATGAGATATTTTTCTGCAGTAAAAACTATCCTATACGTTGACCCGGATAACCAGCTATCATCATACCAAATTTCATCAAAAATTGTTCAGTGGTTTTCTAGTGATACGGTCACAGATAGACAGACAGATAAAAATTCTAAAAACTATAGATTCGGCCTCTGTTCGATAATAATGTCTATTTCAATAAGATTTTCCAAAAATGTATGTATTCAATGTACAGATTCGGCTTAGTTACAATTTTATTATATGTATAGAGGGTATATTTTGACGTATGACTTGTTCTGATTGATTTTAGCATGGCGGGTGAGAACGTTATGTAATTGGTAGTGGTGGTATACTATAATATACACACTATCATTTTGCTTTATAATAAAAGATTTAATTTAAAATATTTATGTTTTTGGAAGGGATTCTCTTTGAAATTATTTAACTAATAATAAAAACTACTGCCAAAGCTGCAGTTGCAGGCGGAAGCTAGTCGAGAATATTTTAAATTAATTATGAGACAAACGACATTTTACGTTTTGAAAAAATTAATTATTAAACCGTTTCAGACATAATATATGCAAAACAAATACAGATGATTAATTCATTTTTCGCATTTTGACAAAGTATCAGGACATCTGCACAAATAAAAGAAAAAAACTATGTTATCTGTAATCTATACATATAATAAAATTGTAACTAAGCCGAATCTGTACATTAAATATTTTTTGGAAAATCTTATTGAAATAAACATTATTATCGATACAGAGGCCGAATCTATAGTTTTTAGAATTTTTGCCTGTCTGTCTGTCTGTCTGTCTGTTACCGCATCACAGAAAAACCATTGGAGTATATCCGGGTAAACATATAGGATACTTTTTACCGCGGGAAAATGTCTCATTTCTGAGAAAAAATACAAAAACTGCAATGTAAGAGTATACTAATATATAAAACCTAAGAATTTGGTTTTTGATCATCTGAACGCAGGCGGAGCCGCGGACAATGCTAGTCTTAAACAAAATAACGGTTGTACACTAACGACCCCCCGCGACGTTTGCGTTACCTAAGATGTTGAATTTCATGGAATTTTATGAACTTTGAAGATTGCTGCCTAATTTCTTTATGAATTCTATCCTGCAACTTTACACACGTGGCAGGTTAGTAAAATTATTATAAAAAAAAAATAAGATTTCAGCCTATATACTTCAGGCATACGCCACAGCTTTCTATTATCTATACATATAATAAAAGTATTACTGATGGCTGTCTGTACATGGAAGATATTTGATAAAAACTATTATTTGGGGACTTAATAATACAAAGCCCAAAACAATGACTTTTAGAATTTATGTATGTTTGTCTGTGTTGTGCGCGCTGATCTCAGAAACGGTTTAACCAATTTGGATGCGAGTTTCACTAATGTATAGTTGTAAGCTTTACTTCACTTTTATTATTTGTTTTATTTCAATCGGTTTATAAATAAAAAAGTTATATGAATTTAAAGTATCACCCAGGGGAAAACCCGAGCGAAACGAGAGTGACTTGCTAGTTTGAAGACTAAAATTAAAATTTTAAGTAAAATCTTAAATAAGAACAAACAAATAATCCTTATTTATTGTGTTTGTAAAAATTAGTTATCCATATCTTTATAATCATAAGCAGAATTCAAATAAAAGCCAATATAATTTAAAAACTCAAGCAATTCCATAGATAATAAATAGTGAATGCAAAAGTGTACAGATGTGGAATTATGTTCAGAGAGATATGTATATACATATCTTTGATAGACTATACGACTTGTTAGATCATATTTTATTTCCCATACACGTTTTTTAATGTTGTTTTTTCGAGCGAATATTACTAAATTGTGTTTAAAACCGTATTAAAACATATATATTAGCTTGCTTCTCCATACAAACTTTCATCCCCATTCTCACCCTCTCAAGTGATGTTTTCCGGGATAAAAACTAGCCTATGTCCTTCTCAGGGTCTCAAACTACCTTCTTACCAAATTTTATCTAAATCGGTTCAGTAAATTCAGAGATTACCCCCCACAACGTCACAAACTTTACCTCTTTATAATATTAGTATAGATTGAACTCATCACTCACTACTTATAATATGAGCAAAATGTTAATTGTGTTTTTTATACTAAAGTTTAATTTTTTTATTGATAAACGATAAAAAAAATAAAATAGTTTGACAAACAGAGGAGAAAAAGGTACTGAACAGTTTTGTCTTTGCCTATTTCTATATAGATATATTTCAATGTATTACAAACAGACAGACAATAATAATTCATAATAATAGCTAATGACGTTTTAAAGATCTATTCCAAAGCAATGTAAGAAACACGTGTACATTTTTTTCGTTTTACGTATCGAAATAGTGGCTTTTTTATTTTTTTTATATCCTTTTAGGTAAATAAAGAAGAAATTATATCCGTATTTCCTTTTATAGAAAGTTGGGTAAGTGTATTATTTTATTTTACACTATTTGTATAGTCTATATAAAAATTTGTACTGTATGAGAATCGAATCTCAGACCTTTTGGCAATTAGTATGATTTTTTAATTTTTAATAGCAAATATTTATTAAATATTAGGACGTATAGTCGCGAGCGGATGCTAGTTTAAAGTTAAAAAAAAAAACAACGAAAAAAATTCATATAAATACAGTTTATTATGCTCTTGCCTTTATATTGTTTGAGTATTAGGGTTGTACATTGATTTTATAAAATTAAATTAATATTTATTATATTAAAATATAATATTTTTAATACTAATTTTTTTTAAATTATATTTTATTAATTTAAAAGTAGCAATAACTATAATTTTGTAAATAGTCATTTTTAAATATAAATTTTATTTCATTTACCTTTTCTAAACCAAGGAAATTTACATAGTATGTAATATTATGATACTCGTACATAGTTAAAGTGTTAATTACTTTTAACTTTTAATTATTTAGTCATAAATTAAGAATTAATATTCATAATTAAGTTTAATTTTGTTTTTAATTCTTTAAATAATTTAGAGTATCAGATAACAATATCATATGACATTAAATTAAAGCTATTCAATATCGGAATAATAATTGTTTTTAAATGGCCCATAATAGATTTATATAAAAAATGTATCTTTTAAAAATATTTTTTTATAATTATTAGTATGAAAGATAATCATCATATTCAGCCTGCTTTCGTCCACTGCTGGATATATCCCGATCCTATGGCACGCCACTGAGCTCGATCTTCAGCTCTACGCATCCAACCGCTGTCAGCCACTTTACATACATCATCACTCCACCTAGCTGAAGGAGTAGGAGTCCTACACTTCGATGGCTGAACTGTGGTCTCTAGAACCCGTCTTCTCCATCTGTTATCGGTTCTGCAATGTGAAAAATGTGACTAGCCCACTGCCATTTCATCTTGTTAATTGTTTGCGCTATGTCGATAACTATGATTTTGTCAGATCTCTTCATGACAGACTTGATACGACTGACAGACTTCATGACAGATATGATAAAATAAATTGATAGGTCATCATATCTTTTAAAAATATATCAAATGTAACATAAATATAATAAATATATGAATATTATATAATAATGTAAATATTAATTGTAATAAATAATTAATTTTATTAAAAAAAAAACAGTCGCAGCCCTGAAATCGTGTGAGAGGGTGCGACAGATACGGCGCGACCGTCCGTCGGAACGGACGTTCCCGCTTTTTTACATGTCAAACAACCGCCATATTTAGATAAAAGAAAAATAAAATTTAATTTATTCATTAAAAACAACGTGATTTTTTTTGTTATAAAGTGTTTTGTTTGTAATAAAAAGTTTATGTGATATGTGAAAAATGTGGATTTAGTGTTTGGATTGCTATATTATCATGGAGAAACCCTCATATAAGGTATTTATTAACATCTAATTTGTATATATATATATATCTATATATAAACCTTAATACCTCAGTCGAACGTTGATGGGAGTTTTAATTAATTAAATTTACAGATAGTATATTTAATATGTATGAGGTGACGTCATCCATTGTTCTTACTAGAGGAAGTTTGAATTTAAAACATTCAGATTTAAGATATTACATATTTATTATAATATTTCTTAACTTTCTCTAAATTTTACAAAAAAAAAATTATTTTAATATAAAACATTGTTGAATTGATAATGGAATTAAAGTTTTAAGTATAGTTTGTTTATTAATTATAAATATATAGTTGGTTTTATTTATTTTTATTTAAATATATTATTATATATGAAGTATATATTATAGATCAGTTTAAAATGAACGAGTTAAGTGAAACATTGTTATTAATTCAGCCCTGTGCGCCATATCAGCAAAATACTAGTGTTGTCCCAAATATCGGTATCGATATTTTTTTTAATTAATAATAATAATAATCGAGATTATTTTACACATGTTAAGTAAAAATGTTTATCCATTATCTGTTTTAAATATAATTGTTTAAAAATTTGAACTGTGTGTGTGTGTGTTTTTGTTTAATATTCGACATTGTTTGTTTAAAGTTAAATGTGTTTTGATCGATATTTTATTGATTTAGGAGATACAACGTACAACAAACATACGTGTATATTTAGAATTGATATTTAGGATATTTCTACAAGTGGCGATGCACTCAGTATATCGCCTTCCTGACTACATTAAACTGAATTAGAACGTCTATTTATATAACGCCTCGCGCTTCACACTGTTTTTATGATCGCTTAGTGAAATTTATAGTTCAATTGTTTAAAAACAAATCTGTCAAATTGAACTTTGGCTGTCAATTTACATATGAATCAATGACAATGGTTGTTTTTTTTATTTTTCCTTATTTGAATTCTATGGAGGTCCTTTGGTGTTAGTCATGCAATGAAATAAAAACTTTTCTGTGATTCAATAAAAGGTTATCATTTTTCTTAATTGGTCATGTGATGATTGATGCACGTTAGTAGTTGTTTTATTTATTTTGATAAATCGATTAAATATAAATTGATGTTAAATGAATGTTTCATTTGTAAAATGAAAAACTATGAAATTTAAATTGTTTTTGGCAAGTTGATGTTAACTTTAATTATTGAACTAATTTTTATTTTATTATAATTTATGCAATTTTAATATTTATTATCTATAATAAAGTTAAAGTTTAAGAATGTTTGAAATTGATTATAATTAATTAATGTGTTTACTATGCAATTACGTGGTACTTATATGTAAATAATCATATGCATTAACAAGTTAAAATAAAAAAGATATAAATTAATATAATAGCAAAATTAACCCTTATCTTCATGGAATACAGCTTTAAATACTGTGTACTATGAGATCTTATCAAACAAAAGCAAGTAAACGTGGTTAAAGACTTAATTAGGTCAACCCAAAATGGCTCAGAAGTTTTTCTAAAAATAAATACACGAATCGCAAATACACAGTAAATGTGCACAACATTAATAAGTAATATATAATGTATTGATTAAGCTTACGTCACTTGTACTTAGGTATATATCCAATCTGTTTTTGATCTTTCAAGTATTTATTTGTCTATATTTGTTGGCTGACATTTATAACACTTTTTTTCATTTTTTTTTTAAATTTCAGTATACCTATACTGTAATCGGTTTAGCTTTCAAAAAACTAAGATAAATATTGCATACTCTCAATCAAATATTTGAAATATTCAGTCATACATATACTTATCTCGTTCTAACGTATTATATCTATCTCTTTTTTGCTAAACAATTCTAATGTTGTATAATACAATAATATATATTACAATGTATTAACAAATTAATTAAACTCAATAAAACGTACCAAGGGTAACGCCAAGTTACTTTAACGACTCCTTAGAATCAATAATCTACGTATTTAATAATAACAAAATTGTAATGTTTGTGTGTGCGTATTGAAATATTATAATATATTATTTAAAAAAAATTAATAATGCTGAAAATAAAATGATAAAGTTACATTATGAAATATGTTTACTTCAAACAAGAATAGAACCTATGACCAGTGTGATCTACACTGGCTCAGGTCGAATATTTATGGATTTTCCTATGTTAGCATCAGATAAAACTATAACAAACAACTATTATTATATGAAACACTTTTTTTTTCAATTTTCAAACAAACATTTTTTAATTTTTTAAAACAAATATTAAATAAAAAAATGGCATCGATGGAGTCATTCGATATTAGCGAACATCCCTACGGAAGCCATTCTTTGGCATTATGGCGTTTCATTTTTTGTCGAGTCCTGTGTTCCCTCAGAGTGCCTTAGAAGTTAGAAGTGGTATCAAATGTATAAAATAAAAATGATCAAATAAATAAATAAATATATTAATTTGAATCGTAATCGTATTAATGAGAGTATTCAAATAAATTATTAAATAAGATTTGGTGTTATTAGTCCTAAGTTTGATTACAACTTGTTTTGTTTTAAAGCAATGTCTTACCAATTTATGACTTATTTAGTTATGCTAAACATTCATGCCCAGTTAGCTTAACGATACTGAAACTCGAGGTATAGTCTATCTATATGTTTAACCTTATCTAAATCTGTCTAGCCGCCAGTGAAGGAGTAACAAACATACACATACAAACAAACATATAATCTTTCGTTTTTACGGTTGGGTTACGACGCGCAGATTAGGGGAGAGAAGCTGTATTATTTAATCTAATCGAACAATTGTTATTAACACTATTATTACGTAGGACGTGCATAGAAAATATTGAATGACGTCGGTTTAACGCGACCCGTGAACAGAGTGACAGATTAAAAAAAATCGATTTTTTTTAATGATAGTAAAGAATTTTAATTATATTGTAAACAAAGACCATAAAATAAAGTTGTGAATCGTTAAAACATTAAATATTTAATCACATGCAGTTCAATGACATTGTCATAAACTTGTGCTAAAGTAAAGATCTTTTGATCTCTTGCGTTTACATATTATCTATACTAATATTATAAAGAGATAGGTTGGTTTGTTTGTTTCTAATAATCTAATGCAAAAAGAATTTTTCAAATAGGATTAGTAGTTCCCGAGCCAATAGCACGTTTTAACAAACATACAACAAACTCCGCCTCTTTACAATATTAGTATAGATTAGTACTTATAGATGGTAAAGTCTGCCTCTTTATAATATTAATATAGATGGTAAATGAAAAATAACTTTTATTTAGGCAAATTGTTTTTCTTCATCTTCATGACTTAGAGTGATCAATTTGTGATTAGATTTAAAAATATCATAGATAAAATCACTGATAAAACAAGTAGTGAAAAACAAGAACTTAGCAAAACAAGATTTATGAAATGATACAAAACGTGAATAAATAAGTAAATGAAGTAGGGTTATTTTTTGTGTAGATCAAACAAGCCTCCATAGTCGATCACTTTAAACAAACAGACTAAAATTTCAATTCATTTTATATTATTAAGCCTTTATAGATCGTAATTAAATTCTAACAAAATCATTTTTATATAACTACTTATTTTCTTTTTTATAACAAAAAAATAATAATAAAACTATACTTAATATTATAATACATACAAACTATGCCAGAAAGCATTATGAAATTTTATGAAATTTTGGCCATTTTGAAAAATGTCTTGTAAAAACCTAATAACTAATAAGTAACCACACCACTAGTTTAACAAATCCTTTATTTTGACGGTAACCTTTATTTAACGATATTTTGCCCCACTCGACAAATTTCAAAAATAAATAGAAAATTTTAAAAGGCCTACTTACTATGTCTCTAAAATCTGCCATTTTGATTTTTTGTAATATTAATAATGGAACGACGAATTAAATGATATATGATGATCAAAATCGGTTCAGTAGTTAGTTGTATACAAACATACATACATACTAATTTACCTACATACACGTCAAACACATTACCCTCTTTTTAGGCTTCCTCGCAGTCAGAAAAGGGCAAAATATTTTTTATTTTTGTTAATAAATAAAATGCGCACACGACACTTCCAAAGGCCAAACTCTGAGTTTTAGGTACAGTTAGTTTTCGAAATGCGTCGTTTTTATGTTAATTAGTTAATGACGATATGTTCTTGTTCCAAATACTCGCTTTTTGCCCAAACTTTGCTTGAAATTGTATTAAATTTGAAAATAATTTTCTATACATTGTATGTATGTAAATAGTAAAATTGTAATGAAATTCTATAAAAACTAATTTAAACTTAAAAACTGTGCTAAAATTGATTCTGTTGTTAGAAAAGTATAGGAGATAGAAATATGTAGGTACCAACTTTTATAACGACTAATGACTTGCCCCGGCTTTTTTCGAGCGCTTCATAATTTGACATATGAATATGATAATATTATATTATATATTTATTACATACTACCGACTCGCCCTGCCTTGGCTCGGTTTCGTCCCTAGCTTGCTTCCCAATACAAACTTTCATCTCCATTTTCACCTCCTTTAGGGATGATTTGTCGGGATTAAAAGTATCCTATGTCCTTCCCAGGGTCTCAAACTATCTTCTTACAAAATTTCATCTAAATCGGTTCAATAGATCCAGAGATTACCCCCTACAACGTCACAAACTCACAATTCACAAACTTTACCTCTTTATAATATTAGTATAGATACATAGTTAAAATATTATCAAACAATTTCAAACTTTAAAATTAAAAACAAAACTTTTATATAAAAAAATATGTCGTAATGTTTTTGGCCTTCATTAAAAAACTCGTCGGACCTTCTTCAGGGTCATGTCATATTTAGCATAAATAGTTATACAATTAATTGTAAGAATGTAACAAACAAACAGACATATATGTAGTTGATGACGACACGTTTGGTTCAGTTTGTAGTGACCGTACTTGCTGTGCCAGCGGTCGCGGGTTCGAGCCCCGCTGGGGGG